CTTATCAAAGCTAAGCAGTCATACCAATTCACCTCCTAGATGAGACTTTAATTTAGCAACTGATCAATTCTAAAACAGACTAGCATAAAATATAAGGAACCCCTGACAATAAAATAAGCAGTTCTGTAAATTTGAGCTAAAACATCATCTTTACATTTTGAAAATAATCTTTGATGAGAGCCAAAGACTTGTTAGCCTTCTTTCTCTGAAATCTGCAACTCCTTGCCATTAAATCCTTGATCATCCTTGACTTTTAAAGCAAAATTCTTTGACATTGAAAGTGATGTTTTAAGATAAAAAAATTGATAGATACTTGTGATTTCTTTTGTTATCTTTTGTTTGTTTTTGTTTTGGGGCCCCACCCAGCAGTGCTCAGGGGTTACTCCTGGTTCTGCACTCAGTAATTACTCCTGGCAGTGCTAGGATGACCAAATGGAAACTGTGGATGGAACCTGGGTTGGCATACAAGGCAAATGTACTACCTGCTATACTATGTCTCAGCCCCAAATGATGGTGATGTCTTCAAATTGTAGGTCTAATGCAATATTTCTTAGACTGTACAGTGTTTTTTTTTTCTCAAAAGTTATGTTGGGACTAATTTACTTTTTCTTCAGCGACCTAAATGTTCCATAATTTGTGCTTCTTACTTTTTAGCTGACTGTGGTATATTATAACATATAGTTCTAGTCAATCAGCACTAGACTAAGACAAGCTTGGTGCTATTAGTAAAATCAAGACATGAATAAAAAATAGATGGCTATGTGTGAAATACCTGGTGTATTCTCAAGTTTACTGCACATTAGATAACTTTTTAATGGCTGTTCTTAAAGAACATTGCATGTACCTTAACCTTGAATTATAGATAACCTTACACTTAATTTCAGCAAAGCACTATAGCACTCATCCTGTTTGCGTAGGGCCCAGGTCTCTGAGGCATATGTCAACGCAGGAAGAACAGTGGAATCAAAGAGATGTGCCCAGAGCTGGAGGTTTTCATCCTATTAGCTATTTCTCCGACAGTCTTGAAGGTGTTCTAAGCTGCTCTCTTCCTCCTGCGCAACTCAGGTGCCAGGTCATTCATCATGTTGACTTCTCGACCTAGGTACACATAACTGTTGCATTCGGAGATGGTCGTTCCGTTGAGAGCGAATGGAGCATCAGGAACGAGGCTGTTTCTCATAAACAATGTCTTTGTAAGATTCTACTGTAGTCCGACCTTTCCACACTCACAGTTGAAGTCGGCCAGCATTTGTGCCGCTTGGCTAATGTTTGGTGTTATTAGAACAATGTCACCAGCAAAGCGGAGGTGATGTAGTTGCCGACCATCTATCTTCACAACCATTTCTTCCCATTCCAGTCATCGCATGATGTTTTCGAGGCTGGCACTGAGTTCCAGTGAAATGGTATCACCCTGCCGAACCCCTCTCTTGACATTGATGATTACCTCAGAGACCTGGGCCCTACGCAAACAGGATGAGAACGCTATTTGGGTCTCCCAAAGAGGAATTGAAAGAGCTATGCTTGGAGTATCACGTTTCACTCAAATGAGAGAAAAAATACAAAGTTCCGACCTCAGTCGACGATCAGGAATCAGGGACGCTGTCTTGTTTGCCAAGGCGTCAAAAATCAGATAGGCTGGACACGTAATGAGATTTAGAGATTTAGAGACGACTGCTGGACTAGAGATGTTACTGACTGAATTCCACGGGACGTCAAAAGACCACATGGCCGCCCAGCTACCAGAAGGTCAGACTTCTTCATCAAGATCATGAACGATCGGTTTGAGGCTCTTCGTGTTCCTAGAATGAACAGACGCCATTGGGTTACACTAGCACGTGACAGGGACAAATGGAGACGTTACTGGCGCCCGTTCGAGCAAATCGATGATTAACAGGAAGTCAAGTGATCAAGTGATCACTCTAGCACTGTCTTCCCGTTGTTCATCAATTTGCTCGAGCAGGCACTAGTAACGTCTGCATTGTGAGACTTCTTGTTACTGTTTTTGGCATATTGGATACGCCACGGGTAGCTTGCTAGGCTCTGCCTTGTGGGCGTGATACTCTCGGTAGCTTGCCAGGCTCTCCAAGAGGGATGGGAGAATCGAACCCGGGTCAGCCATGTGCAAGGCAAATGCCTGTCCTCTGTGCTATTGCTCCAGCCCATTATTGAGGGTTCACATTAGATCGCTTCTTAATGGCTGTTCTTAAAGAACATTGCATGTACTTTAACCTTGAAGTATATATAAGCTTACGCTTAATTTCAGCAAAGAAGCCATGTTTATTGTTTTTCAGTGCTATATAATCATCCAGTCCTTCCTTTAAACAAACCTTCTCTTGACTTTATTTCTGAATGGCTTTGAAGTTCTATATGATCTGCTCTCATTCTGTATAACCCAACACTTTCTCCTGTGCTCAATCACCTTGTTTGTATTATACAAAAATCCCAAGTTTACTGTTCGCTAAAATGCTGCTCTGCGGATGTTCTGGTGACTTCTTTCTCTAGGTTTTTTCCACAGCCCAGTGGGCTCTTGGACCAGTGCTCGTCTCCATACAGGAGGATTCACCTACATTTCACTTCCTTGCCTCTTTTACAGTTTCATTTTAATCTACTGCCATTTTGCCCCCTGGTTTGTTATTTATTATTTTGTACCAATCTCCCTGTATATAAGAGGGAGAACCCCATGATGGTGGGTGTTTTGCCTGTTTTGACCACTCTATCCATGATACTCTTAATAGCAGATGATGCAGAATAGACATCCAGAGATTGGGTAACGCATTCCTTTCTGCTCATTGAAAACAAGGGTATGAAAATGGGAAAGCTGTTTCTAATGGAGAATGTTTTCTTTTCAGATTCACAGTAATTTGGTCATCTTTGTGAGGCTTGAGGCTAATAATTCATTCATCATCTTTTCTTTTTGTTGCAACTGGCCATTCAGTAAATATATATTTTGTTACAAATCAATAAATTCAAAGGTCACTCCATTTATGAAAAAATATATTACGTATAGGAAAAACATGGAAATATCCTATATGTCAGAAATATTTGTCTTTAGATTTTCAAAAAACAGTTTCATCCCGGCATACCCAGAAGAAAAAAAAAATCACAAAGCAAATTATTCCTAGAATAGCAGAAAACCTTTCAATATCTGCATCAGTGTAACAATTCTGCTCACTTATCCTGCCCACATTTTTAATATATCTGAGGTAGTTTTGTTTCTACTTGAAATGTACATAAATGGAAGTATGTAGTATTTGCTTTATTTTTTACCTTGACCTCTTTTAGCCCAACATTATTTTTATGATAACCATTCATGTTGTTGTAAGTAACTGTAGCTTGTTTGTATTGATTTACAAATTTCTATTTTCCAAATACCTCAAAGTGTATTTACTCATTTCTGCTGTTCATAGACATTTGGATTGCTTTTGGTATTTGGTCATACAAATAGTGCCTGTGTGAGTATTTTGACTGCTTTTCTTTGATTATATATACATTTATGTGCACAAAACTTGTGTCAGATGTAGACTTGATGTGAGTTGATGAGTCCGGAGTTTCTTGCCTAGAGCTAAGCAGATCTTGCTAGACATTTTTCTAAGGCACTTGCATCATTTTTATAGACTTGATATTATGTGTTTCATGTTTCTGCCATGCCATTTTGTTGAGCATATTATAGGTATCATGGTTTTTTTTTTACATTTCTCATGACATGTAAAATGAATCTTTTGAAAATCTGGATAGAATGAGTCCATTTTCATGACTATTGAGTGGAAATAAGCAGTGTGTCGACTGGGGAGAAATCAAATAGTTGATATTTAAAGATTAAAATTTAGTAAATGCTGCTTTCATGAAATAATCTTGTATTCATTGACATAGTCTATCTATTAAGAAGACTTTTGCTTGAATAAATTTAATTTCAAAAGTCCTTACAAGAATCATTTACAAATAGCCCTCTCTGCTGACTGGTGAGGTTATCATGGCATCAGTCTTAGGAAGCTTCCCAACAGAGATCTTCAAGTTGCATGTTGAAGCTTGTGTAGATTCTTTACTGGGATAGGAAATAGGTGTTAATATGCTGGACACGCCTAAGTAGAGAAGATCTAGATGTACCAACGTTTTTGTAAGTAGCAAATGTTTTGCTGTCATCACTATTTCTAATAAAACTGCCAACTTATTTTTTACAGCGTCTTAAGACTGGAAAAGTAACAGTTTGTTTTAATCCCCAGATGTGCTAAGGGCCAATAATCAGCCAGCTCAGTGTTTCGTTACATTTAAAAATCAAGCTATACAGCTTAAAGTGACTGAATTTAACTCAGATAATTCACCAATTACTTTTATATCGAGGGAAGCTTTCTCAGGGCTGGGTGAAGAAGATGTTTTATGGATGGCTTTTTGCTCTCTATGGTGGACCTTATGTCAACCCATTAAAATCTAGACATGAGCAACATCACCGATACCACTGAAAGCATTTGGAGGAAGAATACAATTTCTTTATATTAATAGATAAGGAGTTGCTAGAGACTGTTTCGTCATTCCTGTTTAGGAAAGAACTGGCAGCCTCTGTCAACTCAGACAATCATTTCATTATCCCTTTGGGGGTTATAGTTGTTTATTTCTAAATAGCGTTTTACTACAGCATTAAAAAGTGTTTCTTTTAGAACTAAAAGCAACAGCCAGATGCATTAATATTTTCTGACAGCATGTTTTAATATGCAGTTTAAAAAATTGACACGTTTCCTCCTTTTAAATACATATCAAGAAAATCATCCCAAGCTGATTAGGTAGAAGAAGAATGTTTCCCCAGTTTCAGAAATATCAGAAGAATTCAAAATACTGTAGGAAGGTCTATAATTTCTAAGTAGACTCTGAGTTATTTCAAGGTCAAATATTACTCAGTTTTTGAAGAAAAAAATATGATGGAGATCAACAAACCAGAAATGCTGAAATACAGACAATGTCTCTCGAGTCAGTCAATAATCACAGTGTGTGATTGTCTTTGCCTGTAGGTTGAAGAAAAAGTCCCAGTCGGTGGATATTACTGCTCCAGGATTCAACCCTTTGGCTGCTGCAGGAAAGCAAATGCCACAAGCCAGTAAGCCCCCTGCACCCAAGACCCCCATCATTGAAGAAGAGCAGAACAATGCAGCCAACACTCAGACGCAGAAGCACCCTTCCCGGAGGAGTGAGCTGAAGCGGTTCTACACCATTGGTGAGCACCTGACGTTTCACTTATGCATCACTTTGTTGAATCTCTTGCGCATTACTTCCGGATGTCTGGGAATAGATGCAATCTATCCTGATGGTGCTGTTCGTGGGCCTCCAGTTCAACAGCCACTTAACATGCTTATCTTTCTGATTGGTGATTTTCTTACTTGAAATGGAAAAGTACTGACAGCCGCCTGCAAAATTAAAGGAGAACCAGCTTGAACACTTTCTAGATCCTAGTCTCAGGAACAAACTGTGTTTTTGGCTTTGGGATTGTTTTGTTTTGTTTTTCAAGCATGTGTACTACTGTTCTCACTCATAGAATCCTTCAGTGAGTGCTGAATTTTTTGTTTCTGTTCTTTTCCTTTTTCCTGTAGACTTTCATGTCCCTTACCCCATTCCTTTAAGTTGTGAAGACAATAGTTATTGTCAACCTGTCACTAACAAGTCCACCGAGAAAATGGATATTACTTTCTGAGGGAAAACAAGTTCCACGGGGCCTCTATTCTGGCCTTTCTTTGCGTTTGTTTGTTGGCTTGTTTTGTTTTGGTTTGGGGGCCACACCCAGCAATGCTCAAGGCTTACTCCTGGCAGTGCTCAAGGGACTATATGGGATCCAACCCAGACTGCCAGCGTGCAAGGCAAGCAAGCACTCTCTCTGCCCTACTCTCGCTCCAAACCCTATTCTAGCCTTTTTTAACACTTCACTTTGGTGACACTAGAGTGATTCCAGAACCCAGTGTGTAAGAGAAGAATAAGCTATAATGTGGCTTTGCAGGCCACTTATCTGTTTTCCCAGATATAATATCAGCAATCTTAGAAATTTAACCATTGAGCATCTTAGTCAAAGGTCTTTTGGAGTTAAACATTGCTCTCTGTGGTTATTTAGACCAGGGGTAATGTACAGGCATGTTCGCAGGAATGGGATCTATGTTTTGATTTTTGTGTATTTCATTTTGGAGAGATTTGGTCATATCCAAAAATTACTAGTAGAAACTGACTTTCAGGGGTGACTAATGTTTCTCTGCTCACTTTTTATTTGGCAGCAACCACATCATAACTGAGGCGTTAACTTGGAATATTTGACACTTTTCATGAGATATTAAACTGTTCCCATCTAGAAATGATCTTTCTAAGATAAGGTTCTAGTTCTGATTCTCACAAGTTTCTTTGACTCTGTCCAGTTATTTTTCCATATCTTTGAGTTAAATCCTTCGATATGCCAAACACAGTAACAGCAAGTCTCACAATGGAGACATTACTGGGTCCGCTCGAACAAATTGATGAACGATGGGAGGACAGTGCTATAGTGCTACGGTGGATTAAATCATTTCCCTTCAGCTTAAGGAAATGTCTCCATCCTGGCTTTGTGGTGCTTAGAAATCAGCTCTGAAAACCACACTCCCCACCCTCTTTCTGAGTCCCCTATGTTTATCTATTCTCAGGTTTCCTATTTCCTCCTCAAATGTTCAATTTTCATTTTGGTCTCAAAGACCAGTTAGCATGGCCTTTTAGAAAATTGATTGTCAGTAGCATTGATTGTGAGACTGTGTAGCAGGTTCATATTTATGGTGTTCAGATTTTTGATAGCAGCAAGAATCAGATCATATCATTCAAAGAAATCTGCCAGCTAACACACTCATCAGTCAGCATGTCCTTTTATTAAAAGGTGCCTTTTTCTCAATTTGTGGTTTATGCAGCTGAAAATACGGGAGCCCTCTGGTGGCCATGTTGAGTACCACATTTGATAGTCAAAACGTTTGGATTAAACAGTGATGCTGGGTAATGATTAAGGAATTTAATTTTTGAGTTTTGCAAATGTCCTTAGGGTTAATGAATATGTTCAGTAGCTTCTCTAGAAATTTTCTTTTAACTTTATAGATATTAATAATTAATCTATGTTAGTATTTTTTTCTTATTGAAAGAAATTCAGGAAAGAGTAATTAGAGCCTCTTTTTATAGACAAGAGATGTAGGTTCTTAATTATTCTTTTAAAAAAAGAAGCATATTATGGCCATGTATGTAATTCAGTCATGAATTTAAATGTTTGAGTTTCTGGGTTTAACCCCCCTCCCCCCACACACACTCACATCAGAAGCATATTAAACTTAGTATAGTATCAAAGTAAATGACATAATTTAAACTTGCTACTTTTTAAAATACCTAATACATTCTGCCTAATATTGTTTTTCGGCACTTCACAAGTACATACACACCCACTTACTCATATATGTATATATACATAACCCAAATCTTACCAAAATGAATATAACCCAAATGAAATATCTTAAATGTTTCCTTCCTTATCTATTATGATCACTGTTGTTCCATGAATTTCATATTTTAATGCAGCTTCAACTAACTAAATTGACTACAGAGACCACTGATGGAGTATGACCCTGCAGTTTGAAAAATCCCTGGGCAAAGTATTTCAAATTTCAGATACTTAATTTTCTATTACTGTTTTTTAAATAAAAGTGTTAATTAGAAATAGGTAAGGTAAAGGCCCTCCCGTTGATCATCGATTTGCTCGAGCGGGCCCAGTAACATCTCCATTGGAGACTTTGTTGTTACTGTGTCTGGCATATCGAATACTGCATTAAAAAATAGTGAACTAGTTATGGTGGGCCAGTAAATGAAAAGACAGTAGAATTTTTCCTTAAAAGTTTTGCTTCTTCTACTGAACTTTGACACTAAACCTTTATCCTTCAAAACTATAGTAACTATATACAGATAGAGAATACCAAATAGTAGACTCCAGGATATCCACTACTGTGTAACTTTGGTACTTCTAATTTAGATGATTACATGTAAAAAGAACTATAAATTAGACATAGAGATAGCAAAGCAAATATATCTCACAGCACCCAGAAATGTCATTGTTCTTTTAGATAGATCTATTCAAATGCAGGTAATATCTGTTCCTCCCTGTAGAATTTGAATCTTAAATTCTATAGAACTACCCCCACCCCACCTCCAGTCTCAGAGCCTCCTTACCTTAACAAAGAAATACTATCAATTTGTCTATGTTCCAGAGAATTGCATGATTTCATCATTCCTTATAACTGCATAGTATTCCATTGATAGTATGTATCTCATCTTCATAATCCACTAATCTATTATTGGTCATCTTGGTTGGTTCCAAATATTAGGTATTGTACTAAGCGCTGCAGTGAATAATGGTGTTCATATTTCTTTTTGAATGAATATTTTTGTGTTCTGTGGAAGATACCCAGAAGTGGAATTCCTGGGTCAGATGGTAGCTTAATTCCTAGTTTATTGAAACATCCATCCTGTTTTCTCTAGGTGTTGAACCACATGATATTTCCACCAGCCACTGGATTAGAGTTCCTTTTTCACCATATTTCTGCCAAAACAGATTGTTCCAAATATTATTGACGTGCCATTTGCTCTGGTGTGAGAGATGATATTCCTAATATTAAGTGTGAGAGGATATTCCTAATAATAAGTGATGATGTATAGTTTTTCATGTGACTATTGACCATCTCACTTCCTCAAAGAATTGTGTGTTGGGGCTGGAGCAATAGTACAGGGGTAGGGCATTTGCCTTTCATGCAGTCGACCCGTGTTCAATTCCTGACATTCCATATGGTCCCCTGAGTAACCTGGAGCATTACCAGTTGGAACAAAGAAACAAAACCCCTGAGCATTGCCAGATGGACCCAAAAAGCAATAAATAAATAAGTGTGTGTTAGTTTCCTCTCCCACTTTTGGACATGGGTTTTGAATATTTATTTGTTGTTTTTGATCTTTGTGAGTACTTTATCTGTTCTCGATATCAACTCTATGTCTGATGTGTTGGGTATGAATATTTTCTCCCATTCTATTGGTGATTTTTAGTTTCAGCCTGTATTTCTTCTTTATGCAGAAACTTTTTAATTTGATGTCGTCCTATTTGTTTGCTTTTCATTTTTGCCGCCTTTACCAATGGCATCCTATCACCAAAGACACCTTTGAGGGCCAAATCCTGTAGCCTCCTACCCATGTTTTTGTCAGTGTACTTCATAGATTTCAGTCTGATCTCAAGGTCTTTGGTCCACTTTGAACTGACTTTTGTGAAAGGTGCGTAATATGATTCCAGCTTTAATTTTTTACATATGCTTATCCAGTTTTCCCAGCACCATTTGTTGAAGAGGCTATCTTTACTCTATTACATGTTCTCAGCTATTTTGTCCAAAATTAACTGACTGCATATGTGGGGTGTTGCTGTCAGATATTTTATCCTGACCCATTGGTCAGAGAGTCTATCCTTCCTCCTGTATCAGTACTTCTGGGTCCGCTTAGATATGCCTGAGTTTGGAAGCAGGGTCAGCCTGGAGATGTCCAAATGGCTGGTCATGGGGAACAGGGCTGAGTGTGGTGGGGGTCCCTACAGTCTGGATGAAGATGAATTTATATGTCTGAGCCTATAAATTGGGTGGAGCAATAGCACAGCGGGTAGGGCGTTCGCCTTACAAGTGGCCAACATGGCCGACCCGAGTTCGATTCCTCCGCCCCTCTCGGAGAGCCCAGCAAGCTACCGAGAGTATTCGATATGCCAGACACAGTAACAACAAAGTCTCCAATGGAGACGTTACTGGGCCCGCTCGAGCAAATCGACGATCAACGGGAGGGCCTTTACCTTTTATTTAAGATCTTGTCAATAAGGAAGATTTCTAAAGAAAACTAAAACAAGTTTAGAGAAAAGGATGATAGCACAGTTACTGTATAAAAATGTAAGTTAAACTTTTATTTATTAGCATCTTTCAATATTGCCCTATCTATATAAGTATTTAAATTATTTAAAAATTTATCAGGGTTCTAACATATGAATTATAGTAATCTGAGTAATCAATTAGACTGGGTTTAATTACAGGGCATTAGATATATTAATAGTAGGTTTTCCAGAGAGTTGTTACTGATTTTTGTGGCATAGGATTGGTTTATGAAAAAACTAAAGGAATCAGTATTTATAGTCTAAAGGAAAAAATGACTGAGAGTAAA